CAAAAGGGTTAACGTGAAAGTCAAATCAAAGAAAATTTTCTGATAATTAATTGCAAAATAAGAGTACCGAAATATGATGTCATTGCTATCTCGCACACATTAGTTGCGATCCCATACGAGTCCGGACTAGTCAGAATCAGTCAGTTTTTACTGGAAATCGATCCCGTACTCGGTTCTCTGACTATTGAGAGGACAAAAAAGAGAGTAAATACGGTTCTCTCTCTGTCAGAAGTTACCAGTTTTAGTCCGAGAATTTTTTCCTGGTAAATTCTGGTACATGTGTCAAACGATCAGCTGTAGTGTGTTTGGCAACCAAATTGTAAACAAAAGAAAAGTTCAATCTGCTAATTCATGTTGAAAAGTATTTAATTACTTGTTTAAGTGGATTCTAATGAATTTGAAAGTATTTTTGGTTATTTATATGTGTAAGATGTGTGTGTTTACATACAAAATAAGCAAAAATTTACAACCAAAATTTAGAGGTTATGTTAAAGTTGACAGAAGTTACCATTTTTTACTAGAAATCGATCCCGTACTTTTCAATGTTACTCTCTCGCTCTGAGCGAATTTTTATTTTTTGACAGTTTTACTAGTCCGAGTCCGAGGAATACGGGATTGCACCTATTGCATTCCTTTATATCGCTCGGTACAAGTCAATTGTTACAAATAACAAGTAGTTTTTAAGCAAAAACCCAACCGAATTCATTTAAAAAAAAATATAAAAATTTAGAAGTACCGTTAATTTCTTCATGGTCCAATGATCGTATCTAAACCAAATTAGTATGGGACCTCCCCTCAGGCACCAGAAAAAGAATTATCAAAATCGGTTAATGTGGTCCAAAGTTATGCGGTAACATACATAAAAGAATATTCCGATGAACTGATAACCTCCTTCTTTTTTTGAAGTCGGCTAAAGAGAGAAAAATTAATGAGCTAATTATTATTAACTTTTAATAGTTATATTTTAACATTTCTAATAAGATTTACATAAAAAATCTCATGCACCCCGTAAATTAAGCTCTGCGTACGACCATGCTTACAGCACTTACTAACTTTACTGTTAGCTTGCTAAGTCGCATCGGAACTCTGTACTTGACGCAGCTGAATCTTGTTAAAATAAGTTTAGTCAACTACGTTCAGCAGTTATAAAATACAGCGATGAAGATTCCAATGTTATTCGTCGAACAAACGAAATGTTTACAGACAATAACATATTCAACAATTTTATTGAGCTTGAGGCCGTTATTAATGAAAATTTATTGTGGAAAAATAACAATAGTTTTAAAAATGGTAGACGTTGTAGCTGCTATTTTGGACGAAACGAAATTCCTGGGAATTTTGATGTACATATTCTCTCTCAAAGGCATTCTTACGCGAACGCGAAATTTGCAGGAATTTTCAATATCTCTTCTTATTCTCACGTTTCACAGCATACGATTCAATTTATTTTTGGTAATCACAGGCGGGTCTCCTACAGTTACGACTGAGATCTGATTACAAATGCAACCAAGTACTTTTCAAATCATTGGAATTAATTAAAATATTTGAATAGTAAATTGTTCAAGTTCATCTTAGAGCCAGTTTCACGAATGCAATTTAATGGACGAGTGATTTTTTTTTTATTTTGATTTATTATGAAAACTGACAAAAGGGAAAAATCAACTTTCTGTAAAATTGCTGATTATGATGACACAAACGATATACTCCCACGAAAGTCGGGCTTATGTAACCGAAACTACCCAGATTAAATCTTGCTAAGGATTGTCTCTCCAGAGAGAAGTTTTTGGAGAATTTTATGCTGTAACATCAAAAAACAGCAAAATATGTACATATAATAAAAGTATATAACAACACTCTTGAAATAATGTGTTCCATTTTTTAATCTAGTCAAAGAAAGAACTGCCGAGTTTACTACTACTTTTGACTTGGGGCTATAAAATTTCTTTAAGCGAATTAGATAGAAAGCTCAATAATTGGAATCAAAATTGTTAATTCAAGCCAAACTTAAATGTTTGTTGGGACTTATTTATCTAAGTGTCAAGCTGAGCACAATTGAAAGAACTCAAACAAATATACCAACATATATACATACACACATACTTACAACTGGCAACGTTTGAGACCTGTAAATAAGTAGTTTGAGTCGATATACACAACTTGAGACCTTGTAGCGATCGCAGGCGTTTATTCACCTGCTTTGTGATAAATAGAAATTAGCGTTGTTTTGTGCATATTATTTGCCAATAAATAAGAAGGTAGCTCTATTCGTTGGAAACATAAAATTAAATTTTTGATAGTTTAGATAATGGCAGATCCGAAAATAAGGTATGTATTGAAATTAATAAATTTGGAATATTTTTTTTTAATTTTAATTATGCAAATTTCATTATTTTCTTGGCAATTGGCTCTAAACAGTGCACCATTTTATTCATGTGCCGCTTTATTGCTGGACATTTTGTGGGTGTTTTGTTAATTTTCATATTATTGCACTGTACTAAATCGCGTGAGATATCTTGAAAACAAAACGTGCTCGCGTTGGAAAGGCATGTTAATAAATATCGTTGTTATTGTTATATTTGCCATGTGTGTATAAAAGCAAACATAAACGCAAAAAATTGAAGTCATGTATGTATGTCGCAATCGAAGTCAAATGTCAAAAGCAGCTGTGTCTTATTTTATGTTGGTTAAATTACTTTGTGTGTTGTGTTGTTGTGTCTTTCTCAGCGCAAAAATGGGTTTCGTATTGCAAATTCACAAATATGTAACACAATCGTTACATCGACCATACGAACATACACAAATGATAAAAAGTTGTGCTCGCAGGAGGTTTGTATAAATAATTGAATTCATTTAAAGTTGTGTCAGTAAATACTACATCTATACTGTGGGTTCATCTACATACATACTTGACGTTTACCGACATTTGACATCGTGTGCAGGTGGTAAATGTTATTGGCTGTTTACACCCGATAATTCTTCGTTGCTGCTAACAGTTTATTCAGGACGGGAGTGTTATTTAAGTATCGATATACTAATTTAATGAACAAGTTATGAAACATTTTGAATCACCCAAACATGTAATAAAAATAGAGTGACCCAAACAAAGTCTGGAACGCGGCATTTGAGCAAGTTTTGGCTATCTTTAGTTTATTAAGCCATTTAGCCATTTCCATAGTCATTAGTTAACTACTAGATCACTATTTTTCATGAAAGTATAGAAAGATAAGTTAACAAGCGCCATATAACTCCAAATTTCAGACCGTGTGAAAAAATTATGAAAATTCTACAAAATTTCACAAATCTCTAATTTTTTAATTAGCATCCTTAAAAAAAAGTTTGGTTTGCAATTTTGTTGACCATTAAACGTTGGTACAATAAAGTATGTATGTCAATATAAAGCAGCTAAGACTTGCCGTTCATTATTGGCAACTTCTTTTTTTTCATTGACGGTGCTCTGCTCTTTTTGCATATAAAAAAGTTGTCGAACTTACACACCTTGTATGGAAAAAATGCATTACACCGTCAAAAAAAAAAAATGCCAAAAATAAACGGTCTGTCTTAGCTACTTAATGTTTGCACTATAATACTAAAATTGAATGACCTAAAAAAATCAAGAGGTTAGAAATTTTGATGAAATTTTTATAAAATTTATAGAGGTCACCTCTAGGAAACTTTTTTTTGCGAAATAAAAAAAACGGTTTCTCTTTTTTTATCACAAATATTAATAATTTGTGGTAGCGTTTATGAATTTCCAAAAAAAAAATTTTTGAATCACTCTAATATGTACATATAATATATATATTTTTTTGTATATATGTACATATATGAATGCATATGAATGTAGTAAATAGTATAAAGGTCTGATTATGCATACTTCGCATAACTTCGCACCACCATTTGTACCAGTGCAATAAAAATGTAACTTAAGAAAATGTGAAGCAAAATCTAAACTAAACAGATCGCTAAGTTTTTAAAAATTCCGCTAATTTCTGGGTAATGGAGTACATAAAAAATACATACAAAGAACATACGAAATTACAATTTGCAGGTTATGGGAAGTTGTGCGAGGTTATGCGA